ATTTCATTAAGGGTAAGTTTATTAAAAGGCCTCTTACTTAAAACAACAAGAGGCCCCAAAAAGATATTTTGCACACAGACTTGGGATATCAAATGGTTAACAAAAAACCAATTTTTGCTTTGGGAAATTGATATATTTTTGGGGGGAGGGGGTAGAAAGATAAATCTTTATTTATTGCTTTCGATTAACATTGAGGCATTTGCTGATGTGGAAGACTCTATTTTCTGCCAGGAAATCAAATTTCCTTTAACATGAGTCCTTGCTTGCCTCTGTAGGTAACAAATTAAAGGATTTACAACTTTTTTCTATTCTGGGGGGCTGCCTATCGACCGCATTACCCCAAAACTTTAGAAGCCCATAATTTTGCATGTAAAAGGGGCAGGAACATAAAAATTTGCAGAAGTGGATATCTTTGCACATTAAATCTACTGGCCAAATTTTATCAAAATCTGAGAGATTTAGGTATTATGGGTGTGTTGATTTGACATGGAATGACCCTAAGGTGGTTTCCCTAACTGTCATTGTTTTGATATCAAATTCTCAAAATTTGGCTTGGCAAACCCTTTTGCAACTAGCCTAACATAACCATATACTTGCTCTTTATTTTGAAACTATTTTATTTTCACTACTTTAAGTGTTTTGTTTATAACCATGTCATGTCATACATCAATATGGTATAAAAATTTCATAATAGTAAAATTTCATAACAGCATCTTTTGGTAAAAATTCACTTATCCATAAAAAATCAATCCTTGCCACTGGTGTCTAGCCTCAATTTGTCACTTTTGTAGTAAGTTATTCAGTCAATTTGTCAATTTTAAGTTATTCTAGTAAATGCTACCAGATGACAAAACATGTTTTAATGTTTTAGTTTTTGCTTTGCAAGCCAGAGGTGGTTGTTTTCTTAGTGAAAGAGTTTTTTGAAAGGTTGAAAGGAACATGTTGTTTTTATCTTTTTCCAAATCTTGGTGTTGTCTTTGAGCTTTGAAGCCAAAATCACATTGGCATGTAAACTCACATAGATTGATACTCCATTTGGTTGTAGGAACCCTCTTCCACCTCTTCTAAGATCTCAAAATACTTTGGCAAAAGTCTTACATAAAAAATAAATACAGAAAATACATAAAAAAATTATTGTTCTTGGTGATTAAATGTTTCTCTGAATAAAGCCACAATGGCTCAATAGAAATTTGATAAAACTGCATGTTGATACCTTTGTTGGAATTATTGAAATAAACCTCTTCTAAAAAATGTAAAGACAGAAAACCACTCAAATCGGTGGACCGCCCATGTTTTCCAAGCAGGGACCGCGCATATGGGGTTCTTACCACATGGCCTAAAATACGTTGGTGGTCACATCAACACATGACACGATGGCCTGCCTAATAAGTAATATGCATGTTATACGATGGCTGGATGTGAAATCCAATCGAAAACAATTGATCGCTTTACAGGCAATGAAACAGTTCCTTTTTTGCTTAGGCCACAGGGTTTGCTTGCAATACATAACTACAAACACTATAAAAAGCGAGAAACAGCCGAACTTACCAAGCTGAAATCCATTACTTTCCAGTGTTCTTCGACGCTTTCTCGATGGTGGATGAACCAATCTATGTTCTAGGAATTTGTTCAACTCTCGAAAGTTCTCCCGACATTGCCTACAACGGTAAACCGTCGACCCACGATGCAACTTGACATGTTGCTGTAGCAAACTGGGGTTTCGAAATCTCTTGTTACATTTACTGCACCTCAAGACAGTAAACAAACGCGAATGGCCGCGAATTTTAGGCTTGATGTCTTCCTCCGATACACTAGCATGATGGTTTGCGGCAATTTCAATACTCTCGTGCTCGTTTTCTTGCAGTGGATGCCCATCCGCTTGCATCTGTATCGCCTCCAAATGCTCGTGCAGGCCATGGTGCGTTTGATCTTCCATTACCCGAGAGAAGCTGTGAAACTTTTGAGTAAACGCGAGAGAAGGGTAGATCCTCGAAAGTCTGAATGTCGCTCCCTTCAGTGTGCGCAGAAAACACGAGCACAACGCGCAGGTGTGGCATAGGATATCTTCTCCTTCGCAGCCACGCTGCGCCTTTTTATGTCATCCAAGGATGTATGTATGTATGTATAATTTTGCCATAAAATAAATTACAATTAAAACTTAAGAAAAAAAAAAGATCTAATTACAGATATATAAAATTTACAGATAGAAGTTAAAAGCATAGACTAAAACACCCCAGGTTAAAAATGGCAGGGATAGCATTAAAAAGGTCAATACGATCTTGTTTTCATAATGGTCCCTCCAGAGGTGTTATAAAAAAATGTGTACATGTAAAATTGATTTGTATCCAGCAAGGGCAGATTTTGTAACAATAGGTTCTTTGGTTTGTTTACATTTTGTTGACTAGCCAATCAGAGAGCTCTATTTCTATGGCGTCATCTGATGGTAATGGCGGATGGAGGGGTTTGCTGTGGAGAAAACCACACCCTCGTTTTTTCCTCGCGACGAAAATATACTTTGAGAAAAACTCGAGATTTTTTGTACCCGTATAGAACGATAAATTTTACATGTAATTTTATTGGCACTAAGCTCTGCGTTTACTGCTCTTTGCGTGATCGCTCGCTATTGACATCCCTTTTTGCACGCCCTCAATGGCTCGATGACCCTCCGACGACTCGGCCCTAAACCCAACAAATCACGCTCCTCTACCAAAAACAACAGTGGACTTCAATTGCACTGCTAGCAGATGTAAGGAATATTTCAAAAAGGGTCTTACAGTGTTTTTTAAATTATTTTTCAACCTAAAATAGCTATTAAGGTGGATATGTATATGTAGCGCTAGCCCTTCGGGAGAGGGGTCTAGCCATAATTTCGGCGGGATGGAGAGTGAAAAGCGACTAAAAAACAGTAACTGAACAAACTCGCAATCAACATGGTTATACGAAGATGGCAGATAAGACACAATGTCCCACCGCTGTTCGATGTTCATTTAAAATTCCCATTGGTTGGACTATACACTGCACTCCCCCACTCCAATGTATCCGGAAAGTTTTGAATATTGCCAGGAATCTGTTTTTAAGTATTTTTTAAATAAATTCAAAGACAATTCTCTTAATAACCTTTCCATTAATTTCCTCGAATTTTTCCTGTGTTTCTTTGGCGTTGAACTATTTATTCGTCAAAAATTCATCTTATTATAGATGTGTAAGCAAACTTTTTGAGGGTCTTTCCTCAAGATGGTAGCATCGGAAACAAGTGAGTTGACACAGCAGTGTCTAGAAATAATGTTTTATCACAATGATCGAAGAAAAGCTATTATTTAATTGTTCGTATAATTGAATGCAAAAAACTGCTGATTTAGAAAATTGCAAAATAATTTGAAAGCAAGAAGCATAAAATTTTGGTCACGTTCAAAAAGAACAAGAACTCTCGCGAGACAAATGGTCGAACGTTCTGCCCTAACCAGTTTGCATCGAAACTGGTTTGCTTCATCGCACAAAATTGAATAAAATGTTTACAGAAAATTGTAAATTGAAGTTGAAAATCATAACTTTTAAAATCTGTCCATAAATATTGCAAGAAGCAAAGTAAACAATTACAAATGTACACTCGTACTTATCGATTTCAGCAAGACTTGCAGCGGTAAAGAAAGCAGCTTTTGCACTGAATAAAATGCCTGCTTTTCAAGAACGTTTATGGTCTGGTAAAATGTTACTAAATGTTATACATGATTTGTAATTGATTGTTGGCATCTCCATGCAAATAATCTTCCCAACTGAAAGTAAACACGTTGTTTTTCAAAAGTTTTTGTGTCTTGAGAACGAGTTTATAAAAAATTATAATGTTTCATTGGCCAATTTGTAATTGAGTTCTAACCACCTGACTTTTCTGCTCTGCGTTGATTTGACATTGGTTTATTTGCGTAAAGATTGTACTGCAAAGGTTTCATATTTCAACAAAAGCTAATAACAGAAAAAAATGAAGAAGGTTGGCAATATTTTAACGTCTTGGTTCATCTTGGAATGGTTTCTCAAAAACATTATCGTTTCTTATAAACTATCTGGTGGACCCTCATGTATTTTTGAAAAGTCCTTTTGCCAATCTAAATTTGTTCTATAACTTGACAAAGGGCGATGCTCAAAATTTCGTTTTTAACACTTTAATTTTCCTAGTACAATTTACCTTATTTTCCAGTTATATTGTCAAATAATATTGTACAGATGCAAACTATAACGTTTTTTGAATTTGTTTTTGTGCGGAAGTGCAATCGATCGTCGAGCGATTGAGGGCGTGCAAAAAGGGATGTCAATAGCGAGCGATCACGCAAAGAGCAGTAAACGCAGAGCTTAGTGCCAATAAAATTACATGTAAAATTTATCGTTCTATACGGGTGCAAAAAATCTCGAGTTTTTCTCAAAGTATATTTTCGTCGCGAGGAAAAAACGAGGGTGTGGTTTTCTCCACAGCAAACCCCTCCATCCGCCATTACCATAAGATGACGCCATAGAAATAGAGCTCTCTGATTGGCTAGTCAACAAAATGTAAACAAACCAAAGAACCTATTGTTACAAAATCTGCCCTTGCTTTTGTATCCAAAACTAGAAAAAAGTAATTCTGGAAAAATGTTAGCTAGAACCTTTTCGTTGGCTGAATTTGGGTTTTCAATATAATATGCAGGGGCTATCCTCCTGACTTTGTAGATCATCAAAGGATTTATCTTTGATCTTGTGTTTGAAACTATTGACGTTCTTTGCAGATTTTAGTTTTGACGGTAGATTGTTCCAAATTTTGGGACCAAGATATGAGAGGCAGTTTTGCCCTATGTTTTTCTTTCGGAAAGGTCGATTCGGTTTGTTTTTAAATCTTCGAGTGATTCTGTTATGGCCAAATGGTAAGAGCATCTCTGACATGTAGGGTGGGGCTGAATTATCAAAAAAAATGAAAACCTTGCAGTCATACACTGTTCATATCTCTTTTGTGGGGAGCCAATTGATATTTGTGAATTCCTTGATTCCTATATGTGTTCTGTTATTTGGATTCAAACAAAACCTGATACAATTGAGCTGTCTGAATTCTTTTGGTCAATCTTTTGTTTAAGTATGGAAACCAAGCACTGCTTGCATAGTCAAAATGGAAGGGAGAAGTCAAGAAAATGTTGCTTTCTGTAAAAAAATCTTAGCCTGCCATTGATTTTGCCTAGGATTCTTGTAGCCATTGATTCAGTCCTTGGCTAAATGGCCAGCTTCTGTAAGTATAAAAACTTCTTCCATTCTTACCAAGAATGCTTCTTCTTTCTTGAATGTTCGTCATAACTTGGCAGCCACCTGAAGGATGATTTCCCTAGCCGGCTCCACTAAATAACGCTGCTGCAGTGACTTCAAGTTATCTTGCTCATACCCCCTGAATTTCTGACCCCCCCCCCCCACAATCACCTGTCTGAACGGCTCTCTCCGCATAGTCGCACTTTATTTTCGCTCTCGCCTCGAGTCTTTCATCCCAAACGTTTCTTGGCCCATACGCTCTAGATCTCTTATTTTGTTTTTTACGTAACACATCAAAGCGCCCTTTTCCTGCGCAGTTATTCTGGATATAGCCGCTGCGGAATCGCCGCTGACCACAGGGGAGTGACAAGAAATATTCCTTTTCAAATCAAAATGGCCTCTGGGGTACGTTGCATATCGATTCAGAAGATCTCGTGGAATCTTTGCAATCCTTTTTAGCCAGCTTTTCTCAAATTTTACGTCCAATTCATTAAATTCTCTCAATTTCAGACACTGTACACTTACAAGGATAGCTTCAGAGCTTTCAAGACTCTGATAGCAGCTGAATACAGCGGGGCTAAAGTGAATGTTTTCCCCAATTTTGAATTTGGCAAGACCAATAAGTCTCCAGAATTTTTGAAAAAGTTTCCACTTGGAAAGGTAAGTTGAAAACTCCACTAATCTTTGTTTATGTTTGTCCTGCACTCATCAGTCGAAGGTAATATACTTTCCTCGATTGACGATTCTACATTTAATTTTTTCATTTTTCTTAAATGATTATTGAACAATTTTGTAGTGCTGAGCAAGTGCTCTAAATTAATTTCTTTGATTCAAGGAAAATAAGTTCCAGTGCCGTCGGAAAAAAATTCATATGGGGGGGGGGGAGGGGCTGCCATTGTCACAGCTGTTACGCCGCGGAAGTCAGGACAGCATAGGCCCGTTCTCTGACCGCATCGGAGAAAATCGATAATATCTCAAAATCTAAAAAAGCTACAAAAGAGCTGTTTTTTGTTTTGGACTCAGCATTAAATTCTGTACTAGAACCTTGGAATAGAATCGTAATTGAGTTTGTCGGTTTTCAGCAAGAAATTTTCGTTTCCCTAAATCGGCTTCCCGCGAAATTCTTTAACAGAATTTGTCTATCAATACCACTGCCAAAGCCAACCAAACAAGGATAATTGAAAAATTTTTTGTATCAAACACTCTGAAAAGGTAGGAAATGTATGAATATAGCATTTAAAGAGTTTTATTCAATTGTTTTACCTTTAAGAGCATAGCGGTCAAATCTTTGATTGGCTGAGAGCTCTGTTCGCTACCATATTCTAAGCCAATCAGCACACAGGATTTTCACAACAAAATCGCTTCGCAGCTAGAATTAGGCCCATTTTCACCATTTCAGCATGTTTTTACCACATTGTCTACAAAAAACATTGCACGCCTCTACAAAGCAAATTTCCACTTTATTTTTTGTCCAGTTCATCATCATGCGTTGCTATTTAACCTATATTTGCGCCACTGTTCGATCACAAAGAATAATATAAAAAAACACCTCGCAAATGAACGATAAACTTCGTGTCGAGATTCAGGTAAATTACGTTTTTACCTCTCCCCACCCAAAACGCTTTAGAATTTCACATTTAGACAAAATCAATTTTATACTTACCTTAAATCTAGGAATGGTTCATAATCCCGTCAAAGATGCACTCACTGTTCAGCCTTAGATTCGTGGTGATCGTCAATGTAATTATTACAACGGCACGAAGGCTTTCATCTTCACCCTCGAAATCAATAGATGTATCTTTGTCCTCTGGAATCAAAATTGATTTCATAAAAGTGAAAAAATTTCAGCAATAGCCCAAAGTAATTTCAATCATGATTGTCCAAAGACAATTTACCATTTTTACTAATTTTATGTGATGAAAATGGCGTATACACTCACGCGGTAAGACTGGGATCTAATAAAATTTGAAAACGGCGGGAAAATTTCGAGGATGCGTTTTCGTCAATTTTTGCGCTGATATGAGCTGATATTTGCGTTTTCGTCATGATTGAAATTACTTTGGGCTATTGCTGAAATTTTTTCACTTTTATGAAATCAATTTTGATTCCAGAGGACAAAGATACATCTATTGATTTCGAGGGTGAATATGAAAGCCTTCGTGCCGTTGTAATAATTACATTGACGATCACCACGAATCTAAGGCTGAACAGTGAGTGCATCTTTGACGGGATTATGAACCATTCCTAGATTTAAGGTAAGTATAAAATTGATTTTGTCTAAATGTGAAATTCTAAAGCGTTTTGGGTGGGGAGAGGTAAAAACGTAATTTACCTGAATCTCGACACGAAGTTTATCATTTGCGAGGTGTTTTTTTTATATTATTCTTTGTGATCGAACAGTGGCGCAAACATATAGGTTAAAATAGCAACGATGTATGATGATGAACTGGACAAAAAATAAAGTGGAAATTTGCTTTGTAGAGGCGTGCAATGTTTTTTGTAGACAATGTGGTAAAAACATGCTGAAATGGTGAAAATGGGCCTAATTCTAGCTGCGAAGCGATTTTGTTGTGAAAATCCTGTGTGCTGATTGGCTTAGAATATGGTAGCGAACAGAGCTCTCAGCCAATCAAAGATTTGACCGCTATGCTACCTTTAAGTTTATATTTTCATCGCACCTAACGGAGAAGCCGAAGAGAAGTACACTGCGAAGGAGCCTCGCAGTTTTGGAGAATCGCTACAAAAACATGAAGTTTTAAGCCGACCGGGTCGTCGAAAATCGCTCGCGCTTCCACAGACAGGCTAATTTTGCTAGAAAAGGTACCAAATTGATGCTTTATTCGTAGGAGAATGAAATTTTTGGGGTGCACAAGCGGACAGAAAAGCCGTTGAGATTCAAATTTCACGCAAACGCAAGAGAAGCTGATTTTTGACTGGTTCACACTGTATGCCGACCTGTGCACCCCCATAGTTTTTTAGCCTCGTTCACTGGCCAATTCGTGCAACAAAAATGAAGTATTTATCGTCTATCGTTTGGAAGTGCCAGAGAAAAGTATGAGGAACACTTTGGCCTAAAATCGCCATCGCATCGGAAAATCACAAAAATGGTCGTCCTTTCGATTTTTTTCCTGGAAACCAGAAACAATCATGCAAACAACGAATTTATGTTATAAAGGAAGCAAAAGTAGATTTATCTTTTAAAATTATTCGCAACTTTATGGAGTAAGTGTACAATTTATTACTGAATATTTAAAATCACTCAATTTTCAAAATTTGCGTGTTGCGGTCTGTTAAAAGGCAAAATATTCGCTGTCCTCATTTCCCCGAGAACAATAGGCGTAACAGCTGTGTTGTATTCCTTCTCATTCAGTTACAAAGGAAACATACTACAGTTTGACAATTATTGGGGGGCTCCATTGTATTCCTTCTCATTCAGTACCCTGTTACAAAGGAAACATACTACAGTTTGACAATTATTTGGGGGCTCCAGCCCCCAGGTTCTGACGGGCCTGATGTTTTGAGTATCTAGAATTTAAATGTAATTTGCTAATTTGCTGTAATTTCTCGAATTGCCTCCTCGTATAAGCCCTGGCTCCCCACCTGAATAAGCTCTTATCTTTGAAGAAAAAGTTGTTAGTAAGCTCATTTTGAATGACCCCACCCTTATATGACAACTTTTGGCTATTAGTCAACTCCATGGGGGCTTTATTGAACAAAAGGTATCCCATTTTAGGCTATAATTGGTAACATGGTGAATAGAATTTTTTTATATAAATGCAAACGAAATGAACTTGAAAATTGTAAAGAAGTTACAAAAAGCGTTAGGCTGTGCTCTCATTGACAGCTTTTCTTAGCTTGCTTGGTTTTGCTTACACAAATCTTTCTTGTTCATATTGACAACTACTGTCAAAGTGCGCATGGACTACTTAATTATGGATATCGCTTTGGTGTTCCGCTCCTTCAGTCTAACAGTTTTGTTTTAAGGTCACCCCTCTTGGCCAAAGATCAGAATATAATAATTTCAAAATGTATCCTTTAGCACTGGCAATAAGGCATTGAGAAAACAGGAGATTGGGAATATATCTAATAAACAAAACTAGAGGACTGCTAAATGACCCTAAAAAAACATCTCATTTGATCTTTTTTTGTATCAAATCTAATCTTTGTTTGGAATGTTTTGTTCTGCTTGAGCTTTGGAGTAATTTCTAGTCCTTAAAAAAATTTCCATTTTATAGTCCCTTTTAATTATCTGAAAATTATGGAAATTTTAGGGAGTAACCCTTGTGACTGCATTGTTTCTGTGACTTCTGCTCAGTAATTAGTAGTAAAATCCCTCTTACAGTTCTTAGGGTATCGTTTTCCACCTCTGAAACTAATAACAGGTCAAAATTCGTCTTTCATGCTCGTACCTACAAGTTAACTTATCACTAAATCAAAATTTATGCATTCTGAGAACTGTATGGGATTAGTGTAGCGGAATTTGCCATGTGAGTTAAGGTCTCAGGGCACAAATTTGAGGATTGACAGTAGTGACTCTTTTTTGAAGAAATTACTATGTATACTTGGGATACTTCTTTCTTCAAAATGCTCCAAGGCTAATATTTTGTCTGCTTATTATGTTGGTATTTTGCATATTGGTTTTCCTTGATCTCTTTTATCATGGAAAAGCATCTTTTTTTTAATTTATAATAAAAAACTTTTGTCTCATCACGTCTTTCAATGACAAATGTAAAGGCTAGGGCTTATTCAAGGGTGGGGCTTTTCAATTTTTTTTGGGTAACAATTGGACTGTGGCAAATTTTAGCAAATTTAAAGAAACAACCCACTGATTGATGGAATCAATTTTCAATTATTTTCATCTTGTTTTTGATACTCATGAACATATAGTTGAAATTCCATAAACTTTACCTTTGCAGAATTTCTAGAGGAATTAGAAAGCTGAAGCAAAGAATTCTGCCACAAAAAAATATCTTATGTTGCCCCCTTCTAACCTAGAAAAAATATTATGTATTTAATCAAATCAAAATTATGCATCCAAAGACTTCCACATGCTTCAATGTGAAAGATTTTTTATTCAACGAAAGCTAATGACCATGAACTCATATTTTTGCTTCTCATATTTTTATTTTCTTATGTTCTTTTTTGAGGAATCATTCTATATTTTCCATTTTGTCTCCCAAGGTCCCAGCATTTGAAGACAAAGATGGTAACTGCATTTATGAAAGTAATGCTATTGCTCAATATGGTGAGTTAATTGTGAAATTATCATCAATGGTTTTAATTATAATAATTTTTATGTAATAGTAAATTTTTTTACACTTCCTCCTTCATTACTTCCTTTTCACCCCTTTGTTCTTCCTAGAACAAAGAAGCTGAAATGAGGCAAAAGAATACACCAATGTTTTCCTCAAATAACTTGTATATAACTATTATTTCAAATGAAAACATTTTATACGAAAATGATTTCAAATACAGCAGAAATCTAACTCTAAATTGATAATGAGTGTAAAAGTAATTTGTCTTTTATAAGTTACCATGAAATAGATACTGACCCAAAATTGCCAGTTGAATAATCCTCAAAACTGTCATAACACAATTTATGTTTGATGTAGCCAATCATGCAGTATCTTTGAGAAATAGCTATTGTCCTATGATGATGACTGTACAATTTTCTCTAGTTTCGAATGAGACACTTCTTGGAACAAACACACTAGATGCCTGTCTTGTTCAGCAGTATATTAACTTTGCCGATAATGAAATCCTGCCATCTGCTTGTGCTTGGACATTTCCAACACTTGGTCTGAGACAATTCAACAAACAGGAGCATGAAAAGGCTGTAGCACATATCAAGAAATGCCTTGAACTTCTGAACAATGCTCTTCTCACAAGGACATTTTTGGTTGGTGAACGTGTCACCCTTGCAGATATTAGTGTTTGCTGCAACCTTCTTTTGCTGTATAAGCAAGTTCTTGACCCAGCAACCCGATCCCAGTATGGAAATGTGAACAGATGGTTTCTAACTTGCATCAATCAGCCACAGTTCAAGAAAGTGATTGGAGATGTAACTTTGTGTGTTAAAGCTGCTACTTTTGATGGTAAGTTAAGCTTTTTTGATGATAAGCTAAGACATTTCACCCTTGAATGACATAAAATACTGTGGTCAGTTGCCTTAGATTCACAAAAATGTAATACTGTTTGTGAATAACCCAGCAGCCTAACAATCTTTTAAGGAATGCTTTTTTCTACAATGTGAATATTTTTTTCTGAATGTTTCTTAATACCTTTTAAGTCAGGGGTGTCAAACTCAATTGCACAGGGGGCCAAAACACACTTGAAGTCTCAGGCTGAACAGGATAAACATTTATAAATTGAACACACTTTATATATATATAAACACTAAAATATAAAATGAAGTGATTTTGCTGGCCAGACATAATAACACAGCAGGCTGGATGTGGCCTGTGGACCTTGCATTTGATGCTTATGCTTTAAGTTAGAAGTATATGATTGAGTTTGGTGCATATGCTTTAAGTTAAGGGCAAAGCTAGACAGCTAATCTTATGAAAGACCAAGCAAGTCTATGGTTGGCACAGATCTCTAACCTCAGATAATTATATCTTGAGTGTCCAGTCCTGGTTTTATGAATTTTGCTAGCATGCGATGATAGCATGACCTTTAAAAGTTGGGGCATGTGATGGTGTGCAATCTATGATAGTGTGCAATCTTCAAAATTTTTATGAAGACCTTTCGACAGTTTAAATTTATTATATATAATCTTGTGAATATGCTTGAGGGATGTACTACTATTTGAAAAAGCATATTAGGTTTTTGTGAATCAAAAAAGTTTACAGAATTCTGGATGAATATTTGGAAAACAAAATATTTTGGCAAAAATGATACAAGTTTTTTAAAGAGTGATTTTGCCCTCCTGAAATGCTCTCAAAATAACGCATGCAAAGGAAATCAAAATCAAAATATTAGTTTGTAGAAAATTAATAAGAAATTAAAAGAACAAAGGAGGCACAAGAAAGGCAGTCAAAACCTGATGCTGCATGTGTGAAAAAAATTTCAGGGACTCTTAGGCATGTGTAGAGACATGTGATCGAATGCATTATTGCCAGGACTAATAACATAATAAAATGACCAGATGTAATGTTTTGGATTACCACTTTTCTTTATTTTTAATAGCATAATGGGATGATAGGATGTGATTGCTCCATTGATTTGGTTTTACTATCAAAATCATTTTTAGCCAAGAAATTTGAAGAGTTAAATCCAAAGCAAGGTAAAAAAGGGAAGGAAAAGGCGAAAGAACCCAAACAAGAACCCAAAAAGGCAGAACCAAAAGCTAAAGCTGAGCCAGCAGAGAAGGCACCAGAGAAACCAAAAGAAGAGAAGAAAAAAGATCCATTTGCTGACCTTCCCCCACCTACCATGGTTTTTGATGAATGGAAGAAGAAGTATAGAAATACTGACACTGAAAAGGAAGCTATCCCTTGGTTTTGGCAGAATATTGACAAACAAGGTAATTATGCTGCTGGGCATTTTGAAATCTTTTTATCACTAGACACTCCAGTTTGCATTTACTTCGTTTTTTCAACGCCACCTCTAGCCGTAATGTATACCTTGTGCATCATCATCAGTTACTTTTGTGCTCACAATGAATGTTGCCAACAGCTTGTCAATTTTTGAAAAATTTTCCTACCCACCTAGAACTTTAGCCAGGGAGCACAGCTTTATTTCAAAGTTTTGAATTAGAACCATGTAAAATGTGACCACCGTCTTAATTTCAAATAGCAAAGACAGTTAAATTTCATTCAGACATTTCCAGTTAGTAATCTTAAAAACATTTCATATTGATAATGATTTGACTAGGCCTTTTAATACAAAAAATTGGAACAATCTCTAAAGTAATGCAAAAAGTGGAACTGTGGGCAATCTTTCTGTTCAGTTCTCGTTCAGTGTAAACAGATAAACTGGTTTGAAAAATGGAACAATTATAAATTTGGCTAAGTTCTTGCATTGTTCATATAGTAAGAATTTCGACCACAAAAAGTGGAACAGAACGATTCCATTCCCATGTGAAAAAGAAATGAGTTGGCAAACAATCGTTCCACATCCTTTTTTCATTTTGTGCTGCGAGTTTCTTGTGCTGAAAATATTTTGTAATTTAGGTTACAGTGCATGGATTGCCGAGTATAATTACAACGACGAACTGAAAAAAATTTTCATGGCTTGCAACCTTGTGTCAGGAATGTTGCAGCGTCTTGACAAGCTCCATAAAAATGCCTTTGGAAGTATGTGTGTATTCGGTAAAGATGGTAATATCATGATTGGCGGTCTTTGGATTTTCAGGGGCCAGGAACTTGCATTCAGCGTAAGACTGTTTGTTCTTTTGGTCTTCTCATGTTTTCAGATTTTAGGACTCTTAGTGTTTAAAAGTCTAGTTGGAGGCTTCAGAGTTTAGTTGCAAGCTTGAAATATGTGTTTTCCGAATAAGAATTTATTGCAATCTCACAAAAGGTTTGAAGCAGTACCTATGCTCTACTTAACATTTCCAGATATTATGAGATAATACCTGTTTCGGACAAATAGTTGTTTACTGTTTCTTGCATTGTAGCCTTTCAAGAGTGCTATACTATCATGGTTTTTTTAAATTTTCTTCCTAAAGTGTATTTTTCTTACTCAAGCACTAACACCTGTATTGTTTTTTTTTCACTTTTCTGTTCTGAAATGATGAAGACAACCAAAAAATGTACTTAAACTAATCTTGTTGTATGTTTCTTATCCCTCTGTTGCAGTTAAACGAGGATTGGAATATTGATGCTGGATCATATTCATTCCGTAAACTTGACTGGGATAACGAAGAAGACAAAAAAATGATCAATTTGTATTTCAAGCAAGATGGAGATTTCCCTGGCAAACCCCCAGTGAACCAAGCAAAATTTTTCGGATAGGACTCTCAAGCATTGAAATAGTTGATAATCCTGTAAACGAAGCAGAAGTAAAGCTGTAAGCTAAATGAGAATGCAATGAAATTCAGTTCTTTATCCTGTCAGTGAATTTTTTATTGTCAATTGTGCCTGAAGGAACATCACTTTGTAAGCCCTACCCAAGATTCTCTATACTTTGCACACACACATACAAAAAAAGGCAAGCAGGAAAGATGTCCATTTCTCACTGCCTGTTTCATTTTGATATTTTCATTCTGTGAGTCATTTTCTGTTTCTGTTTTACCGTGTTTCGTCGGTTTGCATTGCTCCTGCTCACTAACTTGCAAATATTATGTTTTTTCTTCAGGAGGCTCTGTACCGAATTTGTTAAAGCTTGTCAAGGTACACCTTCTCTAATCGATTGCAGGGTCACCAGATGTACCGAAATTGTCAAGGCACACCGTCACTTGAGTAAAAACGCAAAAAGTTCCATTACTTCTCTATTTCTAACGATAACACAACACTCGATCACGAAAAACTAACATGGCCTCTAGGTCGGTCCCAGTCCTAATTTTACTGTAAATATCGTTAATGTAAATTGCCGGCTAGCGCAACGGAACAAACAGAACATTGTTATAATAAGTAACTTAATCGGTTCAGCTCAATTCAATCGGCTGCTTCTCGATGTTTTTTATCATAAACGCGTTTCAAAGTCTGTTGTTAACGTTGAACGGTTGACTGACAGGTTATAGTGACTTTAATCAAAAACAGTAACAGTCATTTGTTGCTTTTTGTGGCTGGCCCTTTCCATTCTACAACTTTACTTCACAATTCTTCGCGCCTTTTACACTCTGAATCTTGTCAGGTGAGGAAGCTCTCCGTGTAAAAACTGTTGTAAGTTGTAAGCAAATATCTAAAAATAATAAACAGCATCAAATGGTTCACACTAAGTCCAATCTCCTAGGAGCAAAAGAAATCTATCGACATTAGTATAAGGCTTTGAGTAGTTTGTAAATAGCATGGGCCCCTTTGTTTTCTGAGCCATATTTCTTAAATTTGAGAAGAATCGAGAAGGAAAGTGCAAATTCTTGCTATTTCTTTTTTATGAAAATATATTTGAAAGCGAAAAATGCTAGCACCATACAACCTTTTTTGCTCTGAATACACAGCCTGGCAATTATTCATATTTTTTTTCGAATTTCAACAACATTAAGCCCCAGTGTTGTTAAAGGAAGTTAGTATTTTATCGCGAATGTCTGGAGAACACCAAGGACCTTTATATATAATCCGCAATATAAAGACCAACTGATACGTGTTCATTTGGATAACTTGTAAACTATTTGGTGGTTTGGTGCAAATTATTGTATTCACTACCAAATTTCAAGTATATTAAAGTGGGAGAAATTTCGGACAAGCCCCCTTCCTGCCTTTTTCCCACCATTGCAAGAAGTTGGACCCAGCCCACTAGGAAGAGCACCCTTCAATCGACGGGAATCGGTTGTCAACCTTAATTACGCCCTATTCGTCGCGGATCCGGAGAATCTGACACATTTAATTCATGGATGGATCTTGGTTCTTAGTGCTGATCAAAGTGAACCACTTGTAGGTACACAAAACAAGAATGTTCCCTGGACATATTCCAAGGTTTAATTTTATCGGTATTTTGCTACCTTTACCTTTGTAAGCACTGTCAGGATTTGTGAATTCTTACCACCTGAAAATGTGCAATCTTTGATTTTCATTTCATAGTGGTTCCAAAAAATTAACGATGAAAAGACATCAATTGGTATTTCTTGGCTTTGCACGCAAGTAAGCCACTTCTGAGTTCCAAATGTATGTTGCATTTATAGTTGTACAGCTGTCTTTTTTTGTTATTGACAAAAATCCCCCAAAAAACCACAAGGGATCGTTTTTGAAATCAAATTTAGTGAACTCTGCTCTTAAGTATACCTTTCGACTAAGTTTAAGAAATAGAATGGTTCTTACACGAATTGGTTTTGAAATTACTTGCTCGAGCTTGATCATTCCCAGTGAATAGGGTTACAAAGTCTGAGAAAAGAGCACATTTTACGCAACCCAGAATCAAAGGTTAGGGTCCAGCCAGTTTCTACTTTCAGGAATACATGGTATACATTGGACCAACCCATTGAGCCCGCCGGGGCTGTTTTCGTCTGTAACTGCTTCGTCTACGTATTTTACGTTCTAGTTTCAAGATCTTAATGAAAGTAAAACTTCTGCGTCCAATTCTGTTTATATCTCTGACCACGTAACTGTTTATTTATGATTGTCTGAAGCCGATCAAGGCAGTCTATACTTTTACATCAGATTTTTTTAATTTGCTTGCGCGTGTAAACGGCTTACTTCACATTTTGCTTCATTCCTTGCTTCATCCAACAAGTTTTGACTGCGCATGCCTACTTCGTTTGCTTCAGCTCTTGCTTCACGTGTGAAACAGGCTTTAATTATCCTGTTAATGTTTTAATGAGTTCTTATTATCACGGTTGGAATGGAAGATTTCACGGGTCTAATCAACATTTGTGACATCTTTGGCAACAACAAATTGTGCATGTGCCAACAAAGCTATCTTTAAATGGCACAAGGATTGACTCTTGTTAAAAGACACTGGGTATGGGGCGAGGCAAGCTCATACTGGAAATACAGTGTCAATGCGTGCGTCTCTTGTGTCCATTTCCGGGGTAATTTTGAGCAAATTGAGCATGATGCTTGCCACACCCTTATCGTCATCACAGTTGACCCCATCTCATCTTCATAACTTTGCTTGCCCGGTTTGTCTCAACAATTTTATTGCCACCAAAAGATCAAGCTATCAAGTCCAAAATAAAGGATTTGACTTTAGAGACCCAGTAGCCTAAGCTTTTTGAGTGTTTAAGAAGGAAAAGAAAGAAATGGGAATGGAGCTATTTTGACTTTTGAGCTGAAAATGTATGTCTTGACCTTTGAGGAAGCGTGCAAAGATTTTGGTTTCAAAAAAATAGAAACAAAAAAGGACTCTAAGCTCTCTCCAATGAGCTGATTCTTGAGGTTTCTTTGGCGAAAACCAATTCTGTACTCAAAAGGTTTTCCACAGGACACTGCAAGTGTTTAACACCCCAACCCCAACAACCCAAATGATGTGGACCTTTCCCCCAAATGATTGTGGACCTTTCCCTCTATTTTGCTTGCTTAGTGAAGGATGCAAACTGCAGTCTGGAAAATTAGTTACGGGGAGCAAATCGTCTGAGTTTCCTATTGTTTTTTCAACTGGTATTATGGTGTTTGGGTAAAGGCAAGCTCCTAGATAGTTTCCTTGAACAGATCCACATCAAGTTGGTGAATCAAGCAAGACAACCATTAACAAGAAACGGCAGTTCCAAAGTCTAAGGTTTCTCGTCCTTGAAAATAATCATCAACACAATAACATTTGAGGATGTCGAAAAGTTCACTGAAGTTATATCTTATTGAAAAATATTTTACTTGACAAATATTTTCGTCCAGAACTAGAAAAATTGTAGTTATGGTCAAAGAAGCGATACGGTCAAATCCAATGTAGAGATTTAAAGATGGTAAAATCAAAAAGAAACTCTGATTCCAAATAGCTTCCGATGGTGTACGAAAACAAAACACAAGTAGGAACTCTAACAAAATGTGTCAGTCTTTAATGCATAGCTTTAACTAAACAATTAATTTATGTAACTCAAATATCATCAATATATGATTCATCTTCTTCCACTGCAGCAGGCTCTGGATCAGCTGGAACAGACTTGCTGGAATAAACAACATCAACTCCTGCATCGTTTTCTTCATCGTCTTCGTCACTTTCCTCTTCTGCTTCTTTCAACCATTTCAAAAATGGTTCTGCTTTCTTGTGAATAGCTTCAGCGATGTCTTTTGAAACATATCGTTTTGATACCTGTACAAAAACAGAATCAATCTGAACTTTATACGTGAACATTGACACTGAAAATTTAACTTTATATCAGATACATTAAAAGCTTAATCAACGATAACTCAACATAAAAGCAACTGCACCTTGAAATCTGGTATACTTTAATTTTACACTTTTAAAGGAAAATTTTTGGCAATTGTTGTTTTTGTTGCGCCACCACCAGATTCACTGACATGGTTCTCACGAAGAAAGTTCACTGCATTTTTTGTAATATTTTAGTAACCTGTCCCAGATTATCAGTTAATTGAAATGTAGTATATTTATGATTTAATTTCAAGGGTGAATTTCAAATGTAAGTATTTTGATTTTACTTTCTTCATTTGAACTTTATATCAAGTTCAAACAATGAATTAAAGTCCTGTTTGTCTAGCTAATAAGAGAATACAAAAATCGACATTTGCACTGAATTCTAACCAGCTAAAGCAATCGTGAAAATTTCACGAGCAACTTCTCTCAGATAAGCAATCCTTTTGAATTCCCCCCCGCCCAAAAAGCAAGCATTTACTTGGCATCTGGAGCAGTCATTCGTGCAAGTATGGTGGATAAGAGATGGTTTTTGCTGCATATATACTAGATCTATAAGTGTTTCAAAAGCAAGAAAATGTAAGACGTTTCTTGTTATGATGGATTACAAGTTCCTTTTCACATGGATTGCACAGTGTATTCTGCATACTTGTGCAGCTCTTGTTTGATGTTTCTCAACTTTTTACATTAACATTAAGTTTCACAAAGGGAGCAAATTGCACACTGGCTTATAAACGAAAAACATTGCCTTTCTTGACTGTTACTCATGGCTGACATATTGACACATGCTAAAAACTTGAAAGAATAAAAATTGAATTACCTTTGAACCCCACTGCAAAAACACTTCTTCCTCTACATAATCAGAGTCATAGAGGCATTTCAGGACATGTGGTACCTTGGGCATCAGCTGTGTTTTGTATGATTTGCCAATAAGCATCTCCACTGCTCCCATCAAGTACTTTTGTGCTTTCTGGTTATTATTTAGCAACTGGTCCAGAAAAAGAAAGGTTTGTTTTAATTACAGTGCAATAAAGTCGCTTACCAGCAGCACAAAGGAAATTAAATTTAGGATTATGTTTACATACTGACTATGATTATTGAGGCATTAAATTCTGGTTAACAGTACAATAGCTGGGCAAGCACAATAAGATAATAAAATAGCTTTTGTATGTCTTGTAGAAAAACAAGAACTTTTCATCCCTGTTGAAAGATGAACCAAAAGCCATGATAAGTCTATTATATAATTAAAATGGACAGAGACTCTGAAGATTAGATATAACATTAAGATTAGATAGGTCACTGAATATTAATAGAACACTTAAAAGAACCACTGAACTCCAGAAACTTACTTTAAGAAACATTTTCCTGTACTTCTTGATCTCCTGCAACATATTATCAGTGAAAAATATTTCTGCCAAAACAAGAACAGCTTTGTCTTTGATATCAAGGCGCTCTGCTTCAGCAAGTATATCCTTGTCGTGACCTTCTAACCCATTTGCTGTTTGACTCTACAAATAATGAAAATAAATTAATAACCTGAGACCACATGCTTCTGGGATTTTGTATTTTTTGCACAAGTTTTTGTTTAAGAGGGGCCTCCATGTCATCCATTCTGTCCTTCATTCATTAATATATAAACTTTATCTAAAGTCAAAAGGCTAACATTATTTGTGTGTTTAACACAATTTTTACTGATGGATACTTTAAGATATGATAAATCAATGTTTGAAAAAATAACAAAATTAGTTTGATCGATGGTATGTTTAAAAACCGTTTAAAAAATTCAGGAATTTAAATGGCTTTCTGCCAAACAAATAATGATGAAATATAAATAATCCTGGTTAACACTCTCTAACAGTTTCCCTTTAACAACAATAGGAAATCTACTATATAAGAGACTAATAATCTATTGACAAAGATGAGAACCAGGATGAGGCTTGCATTTATTGTGCATTTGCACACCAAACAATTGAAGAGAATCACAATCCCGATCAAATCACAACTTCACAAGCACTCCTCCATCAAACCTTGAGTGTAGAAGCAGCTGTCCAAAATTAAAAAACAGCAAACATGACATGCAACTGTAACAGCCTTCTCAAAGTCTTCAAATTGCAAGTGAAGGAACAGAAACTACATGACACAGCCAGCTGACAAAGCCATTTGGAATGAAACGGACTTACCTTTACAAACTGAAAAAATATATTGATTCTTTCTTCTGGTGTCTTTTCCAAATCATCATTCATAATAAGTCCTTTGACACTCTCAGAAAGGCCCTCCATTCTCTTCTTAACTGCTTCATCTGTAACATCTTCACTCCAATCTCCAAAACCATCCTAATGATACAGAGGTTTCCATCACTTGGTGCTACAAGCATTAGTACACAAAATAACATAACTTAGCAACTAATGATCAAACTTTGCTTACCTTTTTACAGGAAAACAACAAAAAAAGAACTCACTGAGCATACTACTGAAGGTGGGGCCATGCTTTTTTCACCAAACAAGTGTTTGTCAACTGAATCTGGTTCTTCGGCTGTAGGACTGTGCAGTTCTCCATTGGTCTTCTGTTCCTTCTTATTTTTTCCTTTCTTCCTGCATCAGAAGAAGCAAGACACAAAATTGAAGAACAATAAGTTGAAATATAAACTTAAGATACGAAAACAAACTACAAATATAAAACCAATACTTACTATGCTTATACCTATGTCTTGCAGAAATCTTTGGTAGCTTTTTTATTTTGAATGAGAAGCTATTGATTCATGGTTATTGATTCATATTGATTAAACATTACCAAACAGGAATCTTGGCCTTAACTTTATTTACAGTTGATAAATCTTAACCTACCCTTTTTGAGGTGTTACTGTTTCAGTCTCCGATGCTGGTGGATTTTTTAGTATGAACTGGGCAACACGGTGTTTTGTATCGATTAATCCAGTGTAGCCACAAGCAATGCATTGCTGACTGATTTTTTCAGACTTCACCTTAACTGACTAAAAAGGAGAGGAAATGTTAACTTTACAGTATTTACAGAGAAAATTTTTCTAGTTAGCCTTGGCAAGTGCATCTTATGGATTTTCATCTGCTAAAAATGGAGAAGCTTAAAATTCTGTTGAAAGTAATAATTCTAAAACAACTTTTGTGATATGATTCAAAGCACTTATAAGAAAATTTGAATAAACAACTAAGCTCAATATAACAAAATTGTACCATTAAGTGCAGTTCAGTTATACAAAAGTACCGAAGGAACAAAATTTCAGTGGATCATTTTAGTGAAAAACTTTCATATGGTTTACGGTCCTTTTATTCATGGTTAAGAATCAACTCATAAGAAAAATCAGCCATCTGAAATCTCAATGAAAATTATGTCGTAAATGAATAAAAAATATGCAGAAGCTTGTCAGGCATCTTTTACTTAAAAACATTCCCAAAATATTCAACTTACAAGATTAGTCTCTGGGTTTTCACACTCAGGGCATAACACATATCTTTCAATGAAACTGTCAAGTAACTCTTGAAGCTTATCAGCATCATGGGACCCATTTACTATGTAGCGGTCATTCTTCTTATCAAACTGAGTATTTGCACCAAGTTCACATCCAAAATACTTGGTTGGATCTAGGAATAAATTTTGGCCAAAATGCTAGCATTTCAAAAAACAACTATCATGAAAGCATAACCAAAGCAAGCCTTTTTTAAAGACAATTTGATTCATAAAGACATTCTTTCATTTGAAGTTCACACAATTTGCAATTACATGCATAACTTTTGCAGTTCTTGTGCAATACGCCAGTTAAAAAATTCAATTTCACAGCATTCACAGATTATCAATTTTCATGTTTACTGACTTAGCAAATCATTACAAATTATACAATATCATAGCAAATAATAGCATAGACTGACCTTAAAAAAATGTACAGAAAAAAAGAGAGATTTCTTAAACGAGGATTTTGAAGGGGAAATTTAGTCTGCTTCAAAAATTTGTTAGTAAATATTTGTTTCTTTCAAATTTATACATAAAAAACTTTAAGTTGGTTCTAAAAAATATTTAGTCTGAAAAAGTACTTGGCTGGAAAAACCTTAGAATAATTGTCTTTTAAAATAACTTAAGGCATGGCTTATTTTTAACATGCACAGAGAATAACTACATATAAGAACCTGAAAATTGAATAAAACATTCAGAAAGGTTTCATTACTTACACAATGGTGGCCTGTTCAAAGCCTTGGCAACATCAACCATGTTCACAACAACGGTTTTGATACCATTTCCTTTGCCTTCAACCTGTTTTAGTTAAAGTTAATAAATTAACACAAATTTTACACCACACAAGATAAATCTTCATATTTAAAAGACTGGTTTTTAAAAGACAGGCAACAACAGTAAGTATTGCTTCCCAACAGTAAATGTGTGTCACCTTTTGGTGAAAAAAATTGATTACAAATCTTATGATCAAACATAGTTTAAGATTTGAAAGTATATGTGTCTAAAAATTGAACTGTAACCTATCTGAAAAATACCTTTGCTATGAGTTTGGGCATCTTATATCGGTAGAATTGATCTGTAACTTTCCTGTTGACATTGACCATAGCCATTTTGAGTTGTGTTCTTGTTTCCGATGCTTACAATTTCTACTAAATAATAAAGTTCTTTTTGAATAATTTTCCAGATTATATGAAGTTCTTGAATCTTTTCCAACCATACAAACTCTATAAGGCCACTGATAAGGGCCAAACTCAAGCTTTCTGTCTTTTGAATCAATTTTGGCTGAGTGGTAAATCTTTGGAAAACAGCCTAGGAATAAAGGCAAATGATAAAAATATGCTGGCAATCTAGTATCAGATGTGAACAGGGCTTTAAAAAGTGGGAGGAAAACGTGAATGTCAAGGGTTTCACGTTCAGAAATTAATGCACACTGCCAAAAACTTGCGTGGTAAAAGTGGGCTACACAAATCAAATCTATTTGATAGAATAGAACAATAAAGTTTTTCTACTGAAGCTTGACAAAACTTTCATAATGAACTAACTGCTTCATTCTATAGTTATGTTTGTGTCCCTTCAAGGAGAACAGGTTTCTAGATTTTATTATCACAGTCTGACTCTGACAAAGTTTGAATGCTTTTTTGATGATTTTTTTCATTCTCTGTATCAACTTGAGGCATTTATCATCAGCTCTCTCAATTATATCTTCCCATTCATCTGTATTCCGAAGAGAGCGATTTCCACAAATGATTAAATTATCATTTAGGGGACTGTGCGACAAATGAGGTTACAGTGACTTTAGAAAGGATATGAAAACGGACAAATACAGAGTAATGGGAACCCCTTCATTTTCCTTTTGACCAAACGGTGTGGGCCAGAGCAATCAAAACTGTTCATAAAAATATGGAAACAGATTACTTGGGAATGAAGACATACAACATGGAGTAATGGAAATAAGGATTTGATGTCAAACTTCTGTTTCCAAAAAGAGTTTTTCAAGTTAAATGGCCCATACCGTTTGGTCAAAAAATTTTTACTATATTTCTCTTAAATTAAAGACTGAGATAATGAAAAACTAGATTGCTGCTCTCTTCTATTTTTAATATCTTTTTTTAACAATGAAAAATAAATTCTGAAAAATAAACAACATAAGGAGTTCACTGACAGAATGAAATAAAGTTAGGTTTGGAAGTTAGGTAAGTTAGGTCCAGATTCACACAATTTGTTTATGGACAAGAGAAACAGTACTTTATGCTTAATTCATCTTAATTTTTATTTTCTACAAAATAATTCAAACAAGTTTTACACACACTTTCTTTCCGATGGATATAGAAATTATCCCGAACTGGCCTAAATTTGCAGTGAGGGAAATTTTAAGAGCCTAGCCAAAACAGCATTTATTAGCTAAACACCAATTAAATAATGACACTAGTATCCTGAAAAGTATCCGATTAGGGAGAATAACAATTGCATAATACTGAATGAAACGTAGTTAAATTTTCAGGTTGTTGCTGGTTGTTTTGGGATGAATAGGCCGATGGCGATTGGACTGGCACCCGTTTTGCGAAAATCATTTTACAGCTCAAAATGGACTTACGACAAATAACTAACGTGAAAAAAGAAGTACGTCAATTAAAGAAAGTTTTAACTTGATAAACTACGTAAATAGAGCAAATCATCTAGTGGCTGTTCCAAGTCACGAAGTTATTCTCACTCACCTGTTTCAAACGAAATCATCCACCTGTTTCTTGGACTAATTCGTCCAAAAATAATTCAAGTTTTGAAAAGCCACACCTGTGGAAGAAAAAATTCCCTCAGAACCTCTAGAACTGTAAATCTTACAAAACTAGCTATCACATATCATTTTAGGTTATGTAGACAACGCAACCACACAGGCACGTTAGTGGCATGGCATCAATGATAAGATATGGCCTAACTCACCAAGTCTCGTTGCCGGAGGGTTCAATCTTTTAAAATATAATCAGAGAAACCTACAAACAGACTTCTGGGCCATTGTATGCATCTATTCAACTTGTTATGAGAAAATTTGATACCTAAACCACTGTTTCAATTCCCTGAGAATGACCCAGAACCTACCTTGCCGACACGTTATGTCCCCTATAGACAAACTTTTCACTGGAGTCCCGTGCAGATATAAATGCAGGCTTGATGTTGCTACTTATCAATGTGCTTCGAAAGTCAAGTAAATCACCAATGACCACAGCTACTTTAGCCTTTCACCAAGGACGCCGGAACGACCAAGGGGCAAGGGGAGCAGGCTTGAGTAAAAGGGCATTTGAAAAATAATGCCCAGCTACCACAATTCTTTTTAACCGTCATCTTATTTCGATTTTCTGTCAGTATCTTAAAAATCGGCTAACTTTTGGCATAGGAAATTTCTTCACAAGTTTATTGTCATGGATAAGGTACTACAGTCAGGATTTCATATGGATCTCTATGATTTCCTACCATAGGCCGGCGTCGAGAATACTTCTATGAAATTGGCACTTTAGCCTCCTTGCCCCCCCCCCCATAAGAAGGCAACAGGAGCGGTTGGCCCCCGCGCCTCCCTCTCCGGCGTCCCTGGCCTTCACTTTTAAAAATTAAATCTTTTATTCACGTTTACAACTAAGTTACGTTTAATGATAATCCTAAATACTGGAGAAGAATGTTAGGACTTAAAAAAGATTTCTTTAAGGAGTTTTCTCTTTGGGCGGGGTTATATGCATGCAGGAAGCAGTGTCGCACTGTGTCCAGGGTCCCTGGCGTTAGAGGGGCCCCAAAATTTCTGTAACCGTCAGCTTTTTTCGGAAAGGATTGATGACCCAAAAACAACAATTTTTGTCGTGAATACTAGACCTATTGTAAAAAAATGTGATAATTTAGTTGATTATTCATTTGGGGCTTCCCGGTAATTAGCCTGTGTTCCAAACCCCAACTTGAAAGTAGAGGTTTGGAGCACAGGCTACCCAGAATAGGCATTATAGAAATATAAACACATGCACCAAAAGTCACTTTAAGTTTCAGAAATTCCCATTTGCATTCATATTTTGTACAAGTGTGTAGTGACAGCAAGCTATATAAATAATTAATGGATGTGAATTTAAAATATATGTTTAATTACTATGTTTCTTCGGTAGACCAATCATATACTTACTATAAATATAAATATATATATTCTCAACAAAAAAACAACTTGGTTGACGTTTCGCTGTAAGCTTCTTCAGAATAACTAAAACATACATTTGGAGCGTAAAATAAGGAATACGAAACAAAAGAACTAAGGTAACACATTTTACAAGCAAAAACAATAATACACTCATTTTTTTATAAGAAACAAAGGTCGGTGTTGAGTACTCCAGTTTCTTAGACCCCGTTTACACTGTGCCGGAAAAAGTTTAGCGTCGCGTTTACACTAGACCCACGCTATCCGCACGAATTTGAGAGCGGCTATCCGAACAAAATTAGTTCACCTAAGAAAGTGGGTTAAATTAGTTCGGATAGCTATGTGGTACAGTGTAAACGCTTTTATCGGGATAAATTTTATCCACATCGTACCTTGCTCAAAAGCGATTGGCTATTTAATCCAGTCAAGTTTTCACTGTCTCCCAATCAAGACCTTTCGCCACCTTGGCTGCCTTGTTGTCGATAAATACTCGTGTTAAAAGTGCAGTATCTTGCCAGTCCACGTAAAATTGGCATCCTTGTCAGCTTTCCCTACTTTCGTTGCTAGTTCAGTGTCATTTTGTTTCATGAACAAACTATTAAAACAAACTAGACCAGAAGCAGAAGCAGATGATTCTGAAGAGAGAGTGAAGTCTTTTTACCTTGGCGGGAATTTTGTAACTATTTTGTTGCCCAGAGAAGACTTCATTTTTGGCGTTCTGTGCATGATCTAGGTCATGTGACTGCAGTTATCCGGCACAGTGTAAACGGGAGGGCAAAGTGGACAAAATTTGTGCGGCACAGTGTAAACGCAAATCAATCCGAAAAAGTTTTATGCGGATAAATTTTATCCGGCACAGTGTAAACGGGGTCTTAATGTTCTGGAAATTTCAATAATCATTGTTTCTTAAGAGTTTCTTAATTATGATGTCATGAATGATGTAATGAAATGTTCGTGACCTAAGTCAAGAGATATATATATATATTGATTACATACATACACTACAACTGCATTGTGTGTATATATGAATTCAATATATATATATACACTACCAGGACAAAAGTATTGAAACACCTGCAAAGGCGATTAATGGCGGATCACGCAATAACTTTTGTTGTTGTCTGATTAAACTATTGTTTAATCAGCCAATGGCATGCAAATAAAACTGCAAATTCAATGAAGCATAAATTCGAATATTCCATTTTCTTTTTTAACAATTTTAAATCAGCAATTCAAAATTTGTTGATGAAATGCGCTGGGATTCTTTTTCATTCTCAATAAAGTCACTTTTTGTTTGGACCTTAGAGAACCTTGTGGATTTCAAATCAGATCATTTTCATTGGCAATAAGAAATATTCGCTTATTTTAAGGCTAGGCCTTTGTGATTGCCGAGGAAGGACATAGAGTTTGCAGATTTTCAGGTAAATTTTAGTGAAAATGGCCTTGTAAGGGGAATGTATTGCCTTTTATGAAAAAGACAGCAAACAATCTTTTGGTGGTACAAAACTTGTAAATGGCTTTGAAAAAAGCAAACATTTAGTAAACTAAAGCTTTTCGTCTGACCATAGTGGTCTGACACTCTTCAGAGTTTAAAACGTCAGAACATAGATCAAAAACTCTACGCTAGGAAATATATATACCCAGTTGTGGATCGAAATAGGCCAATCAGATTTGGTAAAGCCCGATCGTCGTTCCACCTGGCAGTTTTGGAATCTATCTACATAAGCACGAAAAAACCGCTACTGTACTAGTTTTATCACAAGTACTAGCTGCTTATCCTATCGATATTTTGATTTCACCACTGCAGGTATTTTTTCTTGCAACTGTGAAATTTCTTACGTTAATATTGTAATTATAAGTATCTCGAAATCCTTAATAAATTTCAAAGAATTTGACCACTGGTTTAGCATGATTATTTTCTCTTTCAAGGGAAATTTTTCAGCGTAAAGTTATAAGTTTACAAAACTCCAATTTCTTGGTGCAATTTTCACTTGGGTGTTGCAATACTTTTCTCCTGGTAGTGTGTAAACGTATTTTTTGACTCTCTTATATTTTTTTCCATTTTCTACAATCTTTTTAACTTTTTCGGACTCTTTAATTTCTTCAGTTTTTTTGGTTTTTGTTTTTTTCATTTTCTTGAATTTTTTAAGTATTCTCTTAATTTTTTAAATTTTCCTATTGAAAGAAACTGTCACCAAGGATTACAAGAAATCAAGTGAAGTAAAATTGCTTAAAATCAATCGCGATATCAAACAAATCGCAGAAGATTTATCGATCGAAGAAAGAGCAGAATGTTTACAAGAGAAAGAAGCTTTATCACCATCAAAGATCACAAATAAAACTTCCCCCACAAGATATCCTGCAGACTTATAAACCCAACCAAATCAGACATCAGAAAAATTTACAAAGCAATATTAGATAAAATTAAAAAAGAAATCGTCACAGCAAGAAAAGTTCATCAATGGAAAAATACAGACACAGTTATCCAGTGGTTTAATAGTATTGGAAATAAAGAAGACGTGAAGTTTATAACCTTTGACATAGGATCAATTTACCCATCGATTTCTGCCGAATTATTCAACAAAGCTATAGACTATGCCAAAAACCTAACAGATATTACAAACAAGGAAATAAACATTATATCACAAGCAGGGAAAACTTTACTATTCAACTCGGGATTCCGGTGGGTAAAGAAGCCATGCGACGAAGATTTTGATGTACCAATGGGTTGTTTTGACGGAGCAGAAATTTGTGAATTGGTTGGTACCTACATCTTAAACAAATTAGATTCAGTAATGGGTAACGGAAATGTTGGGCTATACAGAGATGATGGGTTAGGTATTATAAGGAATTTATCAGAATCAAAAACTGACCAGAAGAAAAATAATCATCTAAATATTCAAGGATATCTATTACAACTAAAACAAATATCAAAACAGTAGATTTTTTAGAAATTCGACTGGATCTAGAAAACGATACTATTCAGCAACTTCGAAAACCAAATAACAATCCTATCTACATCAACAAACAATCTTATCAACCGCCGACAGTATTAAAAGAACTACCTAAAGGCATTAACAAACAGAATTATCATCAACCGAAGAAATTTATAGAAGAGAAATGTCCGTATATCTATTGAAATACATACATTCTCAAAGATACCGAGAAAATTAAATGGCTTAATCCACCCTACTCGAGGAATGCTAAAACCAACGTGGGCAAAATTTTGTTGAAACTTGTGAAGAAACACTTCGCTGATGATGAAAAACTGGCTAAAGTCTTTAACAAAAACACAATCAAAGAAAGATTTTAAACACGAAAGATATGAAAAGAGTACTGAACTTTCAAAATACGTTTGGAATTTAAAGGAACAAGAAAGATACCAACTACATTAAATGTATCATTCTGTATTAAATGGAGAATTGTCAAGAAAATAAAGAGCAAAGCTATCAGTAACTTTTGTAAATTTTGCCTGACAGAAAATTTTTATATCATTCTATCTATAGGGAACAATAAAATACTTAATAATGGAAGAGCATTTTTGAGCAAATGTAGACACCAGAACAAACTTTTGATTGGCAATTTTCGATCTTAGAATGTAGTTGTTGTGATTTATTACTCTACACAATTAACTTCGTTTGATTGTGTTCTATTATTCGTTTTTAACGTTATATCTTGCTTGCCGTTAATTTGTGTTCTTTTATACACCTGATGATTGTTTACACATGAAACTCAGAGTTATGTTACAATAGTCTGTTTTTTTTAAGTTTACATACTCTACCAGAACAAAAGTATTGCAACACCCAAACGAAAATGGCATCCAAAGAAATTGAAGTTTTGTAAACTAATTTCTTTACGCTGAAATATTCCTATTAAAATAGAGAATAATCAGGCTAAGCCAGTAGTCAAATTCTTTGAAATTCATAGAGGATTTTGAAATACTCAAAATTACAATATTAACCTAAGAAATCTTACAGTAATAAGAAAAAATATTTGCAGTAGTAAAATCAAAAA